ACCCATAATCCCAAAAAATCATTAAATTTACTATAAAAAAATATTTTATAAGAAAAACCATTTGTTTATTCCTTATTTCTTTTAAAACATTAAATGTAACATTATTAATCAATTATTCTACAACAAAAAAAGAAAAAAAAACAAACTACGTATTAAATAAGGTCCATAAGTTTTGATATGAACTATCTTCATGTTCATAAGATCGTTTAGGACAGTTTACTTTTTCAGAATTTGTATTATGATTTATAAAAATATAATCCATAAAATGTATCTATTATCTATATGGTATAATCACAGCTGATATATGCTTATATTTATGTGGGCATAATGTAATTTCTTAGCAATTCAACAATCAAGTTTTTTTTTTCCTAGTCGATTCAAATGTACAAATATTATGGCTTTAGGTTATAGGTATATTTTGCATCAGAAAAACTGATGATTTACAAAATACAAATTCACTATAGTAAATGTTGCATTCCCAGCGTTCCGTTTCAAATAAATAGAAGAGGTACCAAAAAAACTACTCCCCCCCCCAAAAAAAAACAACCACTGCCCCCGAAACGACAAATGTGAATTCGCCGCATCGGCAGGTGTTATCGTCGATCGGTAGACTATCGTCCCCACGGGCCATGGGACAAAAGTCGCTATGGCACGTACACTTTAACTATACGGTTGTATATAAAGGTAGTATTCTCAAAACAGCAGGTCGCCCATGCCTGGTCTTCACAAGTCCATTAATTATACATTTTTGTTGCTTGTCAAATAGTATAATAAATTATGATATGAATAATTTATTGTTCCTATTAAACAATATTGCCTACCTAGGTACATGAAAATATGGTAATCGGAATAAAAATCCCCCGGAAAAAAAATCCCCGGAAAAAAAATCCCCAGACGAACAACCCCGGAAAAAAAATCCCCGACCCTAGGAAAAAAAATCCCCAGCTACAATATTCCTCACAATCACATCATGCAAATGGTTGAACAAATATATTTTGAACGTTAATTAGTAACTATAATTAATATTTAATGACAAATACGTATATTATATTATATTATAATATAATATATTATATTATATTGTTAAAAAAATTATAAAAATATTTAGAATGATCGATACGTCAATTAATAATACAGTTAAAAACATAGTATACAAAAATATTATACAAAATATAGGTACCTATATATTTTATGTTGGTATAATTCTGTAAAAATTGAATCCCCGAAATAAAATATTGCGTTTTCTGTGACATTTTGACGATAAGCGGTTTAGTATGTACCTTTGATAATATATATTATAAGGTAAAAGGTTACACCTACCTATCTAATCTGTAATGGGCTCAAGAACATAATTTGGATACTCGTTATCTTAGCTACAAATTTAGCTACAAATTTAGTACACGATACACAAAACGATAACGCTATGGAAACGCTGAAAATTTTAAAAACTAATGGTAAAAAACCTAAAATTACGCACATCGGCTTTATTTATCATTTTCAAAAAGAGTGTTCAAATTTTTTACGTTGGTGATGTTCTAAATTTAGCTCTTTAAAATGTCCGAGTGTACTTAAGACTAGTTTAAATATTGAAAATCCAATACCTATTTGTTGGTCTTGATCATGACCATGTACATGATTCTAATAAAAATGCAGTCGCTGCTTTAAAATTACAAAATACAATGAAGAAAAAAGCACAAATATCACATGCAACACCGAGTCAAATATTTGCTGAGTCTGTGAGTAATGTACCACATGCAATATTATTAGAATTGACAAAAGAAGAACAGGTAATTATAGATACTAATTAACGTTAAAAAAATATTTGTTCAATTATTTGCATGAGGTTGTGAGTAATATTGTAGTCTGGGGATTTTTTTCCTAGGGTCGGGGATTTTTTTTCCGGGGTTGTTCGTCAGGGGTTTTTTTTCCGGGGATTTTTTTTCCGGGGGATTTTTATTCCGGGATTCGAAAATATATAGTATGAAAGTATTTAGTAGACACATTTGCATATCGCACATTCACACATAATAATGGTATGAATTTATGTAAGCGCAAAGAGGTCACACATAATATTATAATATTGTATACTGGCTGCTGGTATCGACGACCCTGGCAGTGCCGTTTTCGGTGGCTCAGTGTTGTAGTGTTTTTAATTTTATTGTTTCCGGGACAATTAATATATACAGACTGATGGACATTTTCTAGGCTTAAAAAAAATACAATACACATCAGTGTTATAAATATTTTTCTCATTGTACATAATATTATATAATATATTGTTGAGTTATTCAACACACACACAAAGCCCGTTTTAATAACTCTATACATATGGACATATACAATGTATACATATAATAATAATTGATAATAATAATAATAATAATAATAATAATAATATAATAATGATAATAATATGTCGTACAAAAAAAAAAAAATAATAATAATAAGTATAAAATAATATCGGGTGTGAAATTGTCGTTTACAATCTGTACAAAAACGAAAGAATCGAGCGGGTAGAACGACAAAAAAATTTACATAATAATAATAATAATTATAATAAAAAGAACATGTTTTACTAAATGGTATTTATATTTATGTATATTATATTATATAGTATAAATAATAATAATGACAATTTGTTTATACAAAATGAATAATATTAATTATTATTTAAAAGTAATATAGACACATATTATTGTGGCCAATTTTATGGGGATATTACAAAATATTACAGAATATAACATTTTTATAATATCGATCAAATACAGGGGTTTGTTTTTTTTTTTTTTTTTTGATATCAGCTAATTGTTTAATCATTTTTCATTTTCACACACGTTGATAAAAATATATTATATTTTTAGTTAGTAGACACTATACTATATAGGTACCATAACATTTTTATTTTGTACACTAATAATATAAAGGAATTATAGGAGGGGTTTTCGCGGGGTGGGACGCTATAATTTAATTTTGATTGTTTACATTATTTTAATGATACCTAATTATAATGTTGTACTTTAGATGGACAAACCAAACCCATTAGAAAATACTAAAAAGTATCGAGAATTATAAGAACAAAAATAAATGAAAACTGGCAAAAAGTTGTAAGTCGACGTAATATCATAGTATAATATTGTATTTGGACGGAACACAGTGAAACAGCAGTAACTATCAATTATTATTATTCATATTATATTCGGTTGTTAAACGGATCTATAGATTATTTTATCATTACATTTAATAGAATTATTATTATTAATATTATTATATTTAAGTCATTTCTCCTGTTCGTTGTTCCGTTTAGGTTCGAAAACATTTTGTAGTACCTATTTTTTTCGCGCGAAAACGAAACTATATTTGAGATATATAGACACAGGCTGAGGTAGTGTTATTCATTAGTATCATAATAACGTATTAAATCATCAGTTAAGAGTATTCTAAAACAGTCGAATAGATGTATCATCATAATGCCGTAAAGTACATTATGCCAGTTTTTAACGGGAAAAAATTACGACTCGTGGGGCAGTGATTATACTTAACAATAGAATAAATTAAGACAATGTATAATATAATCGAAAAATTGGGGGAGGGGGATATAATACATTTCTAAAAAGTAAGACCTATACACATTTTTTATCCTCATCGACGTTCGATTTACGGGAGTCAAAAAGCTGATAAATGGTAATAATTATCAATATTTATTTTGGTTTTTTTTTTTTTTTTTATCACAGTTAATTTTTGGCAGACGCTTTGTCCGGTCTGCCGTTAAACATATTCATACAATAATATTAAACATTTTTTTTTTTTTTTTTTTTTTTTTTATATTATTGATATAGATAAATAATCTTATTGCAATTTTCAACGTCCTTTGCTAAACAAATTTCTGTATTACGTATCAGTAATCGTTCAAGTTTACTCGAAATTCGAGTAGCCTGCCAATATTATAAGAGCTAATTTACATTTTTACACATATTTTACAATACAATAATTTATTATATACGGGACGATCGTAAAAATACAATAATTTATAAAAACTAAAAAAACAGTCTGGTTGTACAGAAGACAACAATAATATGTACACAATAACGTCTTAATCTTCTTATTTAATTTTATCATCTTTCTTTCTTTTTTTTATACATAAATGTACACGAAATAGTAAACACAAAAGACACAAAAAAAAATTAAAAAATACGTAAGTAGGGTGATTGAAAACAAATGTACAATATGAATAATACGATAACATCGTATACCCTAACTCGTGAACAATTCGATGAAAGAGTACGACTCGGTCGACCAAAGGAAATCATATGTACGTATATTACTTATATTATAATATAATATATTAGGTATATTAATTACGAAATCGACCAAAATTTCACAATATATAAGGAGGATTAGCCAATAAACACGCATGTTGTATACGATTTTGAAAAAATGTTCTTTATAATACAATGGCCGGTATATAAAATTATTGGACGAGTTTGATGGCATCGTTTATGCTGGGACAGGGGATGTTGGTGGAGAGGGGGTTGAACAAATAGTTCAAACGTTTTCGTAATTAGGACGACGAGGGTGGGGGAAGTATACAATACCTAGTTAATTTACACACGCGATAGGTATATTGCTGGATATAGTGAGTCATTGAGAAAAAAAATATACAATATAATGTATTAACATGTTAAACGCGTAGGTACTTACAGAAATAACGTATAATAGTTATATAGTAATAATTAATAATTAATAATAATAATATTATACAGGTACAGTCTAGATCATATCGAAAAAAAAATATATATTATTATAATATTAAGTCTCGACGTGCCGTCGTCATCGTCATGATAGTACGAGTGTCATCGTTCGTTTGGATATACATTTGATATAATATATATGTACATTGATACAATACTATTATATTATGCAATAATATCATATAGGAACCAAAGGTCGCCACAGCCGAAATCTCTACGACGATGCACAGACGTGTCTGGTTTTTTGCTCTATTACACGAGAAAGCCCTCGGACAGGTTGGCCGAGAACTGCGCCCGCATGGCCTGGATGCTGTTCATGATCTTCTTCTGGTGGCCGACCAGCGTGATGCCCAGCGCCGTCAGGTCGGCTACAGTCAGTCGGGCTACCGCCTTTGGGCTCACGATGCCCGCCTGTTCGAAGTTGTCCAGGTACCTGGCCATCTTTATCGAGCACAGCCACTCGTTCACCGAACCGAATTGGGTCATGTCCGGCGCGTCCGAGCTCAGCGGGTTTACGGACCTGCGGGGCAACACCGACAACATTATAATATATTGTTATTATTATGATAAAGATTATATTAATAAGTGAAGTTATAATATAGATACGATATAAACGATAGTATACATTACACGCCGCACACGTGGACGACATACCAGGGAACGCTAGCAGTATACTGCAGCAGTGGCGAAAATAGTAAAAAGTCACCGGGTCGGCTAGAGGCACGGCTTTAGATAGTATCTATATACTATCTAAAGCTGTGATATGGGACGCTATATTGAGCTACTCGATCGTAGTATCGATTCAATAAAATATAATAGGCGTATATGTTTATTTTAAGTAGAATATTCTTACTGACTTTTTTTTTTATAGTAGAGTTGGTTTAGGTTAGGATTAGGCCTTTAGGCTAGGGTCATCCCCCTATTCACGCCATCACTGAGTAAATCATCGTATACGGCAGAAAGATTATTTACTATCGTTTCTATATATTGACATGACGATTGTAATATACGATAAGTGGCGTGGCGAAGGGGTGTTTTAGAGATTTTTAAGGGGTGCCGCGGGATGAGTCTATAATATATTATAGGTACTGCATTATACAAGGCGTGCTGATATTTGTTTTAGGAATTGTTGTTTTGCAATGGTCGAATTTAAAAGATATCTTTATCGATAGTCAAAAAATTTGGGGTCAAGGACCATACGTTCCCCAGACTTCCCCCTCCCCTTATGCGGCCACTTGGAATAAGATGGAATGTAATAAGAAGAACTGATAATTATATTATATTGTGAAATGTTTGTCTTTGATAATATTATCAAGTCACCACGCCACCATTAATATTACATCAAAATGTAATGCATCGTAGGAATACACCCACAGCCATAATACAATATGTAAACAAGGTGATGAGTATACCTTTAAGTGTGCTATAATATATTGTATATTTCATCAATAATGCTGCAGTATATTATGTAGGTACACTCATTTTTTCGGTTCGGTTTGTGATTTTGAAAAAAAACATTTTTACGTAGTTCTAAATATGTGATTTCTAATATCATGCACTAAATTGTTGTAACAAAATCTAATCTTTTATTATTTTTTATCAAATCGGTTGTTATTTTTATGTCAAACCACATTTCTTAATTTCATACTTTGACTTCCGAAACTGTTTAAATAAGATAATTATGGGCACTACTTCACACACTAATAATACTATAAACGTTCATAAGATAAGTAAACTATATTTATTTAATATTGGATATTTTATACATCGATATTTTAAAAATATGATACTAAAAATGCGTCAGCACTCTTGATATAGTCAAACATCAGAGGTATTAAAAAATAAACAAAATATCTTGGAGTGACAAAGAGTAATATAATATGGTAACCTATTGCAGTTACTTACATTAGATTTACAAATCACAATATACGTAAATACATTTTTTTTTATCAATATCACAAAATTGAGTAAGAAAGCAAATCATTTTGAGCGTTTAATGTATCAACACAGATAGTGATATTATAGAGCGTTTCACCAAGTATACCTTCACCTCAGAAGAATTGGAGAGGGGAGGGGCTAGTATACTTGGTGAATCAAACTCTTTTTATGTAAACGATAACACGGGTTATCGTTTCGGCGAGAAAAAAACAACAATATTATACTCTATAAATAATTGTAATACTAAAAAGCGTATAAGCGGCGAAGGCATTTGGGAAGCAGTTATTGCCAGAAAATAAACCGAATAGGTTAATTATATTATAATATTATATGTACACACTGCAAGGACATGGGTAGGTTATACGTCATCGAGGTATAATATTAATTGGGGGTCGCCGATTATTAAATCGTATAATAATATTAATATTATTTGCATAAAGCACCGTGTGAATGACCGCAGACGGCGGCGCTAATAACTGATGATGTCGACAACAACAGTAATAATAACGATGTTGATGATGACGATGACGATGACGATGACGAGTTAAGTCAGGTGAAAGGGGAAGGGCAGGATCGTGTATATATAATAAATACTAACTATATTTGTACAGATATATATATGTATTTAGGTGTGGTATATACGTACATACATACATACATACATATATATTAATGTATAATATATATGTACGTTACGCCATAACGGGTATTACCTTTTCGCGGATAGCCAAACAAACGGTCTCTCATTCGTGATGAAACGACACCCAATCCGAGCCACACTTAAATACGACCGGCACATAATACGGGTTAACAGGCGGCGGACGGCTGTCCAAACATGCAAAAACCCAATGCGATTGTTAAAGATAAAATAAAAATAATAATAATAATTTAAATAAATAGTCGTACGTTAACAAAAAAAAAAAAATTTTTATAATACCAATAATATAATCTTCAACGGCGGTGACATAATACAAACGTTTTTAAAAGTTAAAAAAGAAAAACAAAATTGAAACATAATATTATTATTATTATAATACATGTATATTAAATGCGTACTACGTTGATATCAGCAGAAACCAAAGCTGAGACGGGTGATTTTGAATAAGAAGATGCCACGACAGTATATATTATATTATATTATTATGGTGACGCGGCGGAAGGAAACGCGCTCGAGTGGTTGTTGCAGGTGGACGCGGTGTATCTGTATATGTAATATACCAAAGTGACGATTTCGAGAGATTTGACATCCGTCACAAGCATATTATACGTACACAAGAAGCTTGATATAATAAATATGATAGCCCAGTTATATAGTGTTCCTGATGGGCGAGAGGGAAGTGGCGTGTGTGTGTGTGTGTGATTGTGGGGAGGTGGGGGGATAGAAAGAAATACGAACGAAATGTACAGAGACAGTGATAAAGGTGTAGAGATAGTGAGTGAGAGAGAGTGAGAGAGAGAGAGAGAGACGTGAGCAAAGTTCTTTTCGGATTAATATTATAACGTCGTGACTCACGGACGGATGTATAATAATATTAAAGTCTTACTTCGACTGTATAATAAAAATAATAATAATAATAGTTGTCGTCGCCCGCTCGAGATGGAGGTGTACATTATATTCTATACCACTGAGAGTTTATCTTCTTTAAATTGTTATACAAAATAATATGTAAGACGAAATGTCATTATTCCAATGATGGTTGAGGGGGGGAGGGTCGATCTGTACGTATACCACGTGAAAACGTTAAACTTTCACCGGAGGTTTTCGGGCGGAAAAGTTTTTGCCACTATTGGCGCACGGCAAAAGAAGATTATAATGGTCTCCGGGGCCAACGAGACGCGTTAACGACGACTAACACAAACTCAACGAAATGCGTCCGACAACTCCGGTATTTACGACGATTGTACCTTACGTACGTTTCGGTTAGTTTTAAGGAATTATGCATAGGCTCTTCACCACTTCCTCCTACGACATGTTTCCATGGCAGAGGAGATTTTACGTCGGGTTTTCTGACAGCAATATATAATATTATTATGTACACATTATTTCCTATATTATGAAATAGATGTAATATTATTTTGTTTTATAATTAAGTAATAACTCGAAAGACAGTAAACACAAACGGGTAAGGCATGAGTCGGAAACAATGCTGAAAAATAAATTACGTTACATACTAAAAACAAATACCGGGAAATTATTTTCAATGATTGTTTTTGAAGTAAAATCAAAATGTAAAAATATGAAACTTGAATTTTTTTCTGACGAATGTTCAGATAAAACGAGAAATTCTGATAACATTATAGTTCTGCAAAAGGTATTAAATATCAGAGAAAAAAAATGTCATATTCAGCGATAAATTTGAAAGTGTCTCATTTATATGAATCTATATTCACCATTTAAAAATGTGTTTCAGTGGAAATATTTTCGCCAACGTGTTAATAAATTAAAAAATAAAACAGATTCAGATTAATAAAATATCATTTTTCCTAAATATTTTCTAAAATATGAAATTGCTAATTATTTTATTTTAAGTACAAGGACTATACTGTTTTGTAAAATTCATTGAAATAATATTGTATAAATATTGTTACACAAAAACAGATATTTCCGAGCTATAAATATAATTCATATATAGTTATGCATCCATTAACTTGATCAATATTAATTAATTGGAGATAATCCGCCATAGTATGACTCCATGAAAATAATAATGAACGAAGCAATTACTAATGAAAAAATAAAAAAATCAAAGCTTCAATCAGCAGTGGCATCAAGTGTATAAAAAAATATACAAAACATATTACTCAAAATATGAACGAATATGCAAAGCCCAAGAGAAATTAAAATAACGTATTATGAAACCGAATAGTAGATCGGAATAAATAACGATTCCATAAACACGATAAATAATTGTTTCCAATACTATAAACGTGTATAATTAATTCATCGGAGGGAATCGATATTTTTGAATTTCGGTCTACTATATATAGTTAGTGAGAAAAAAATAAATAAAAGAAGAAATAAACCATTATCAGTAAAAGGTTTTTACCTATTCTGGGCGATCCGCCTGAGCGTGTCCGGACACCTTATGAGCTTATCGAGCGTTTTTACGATGGACAAGAACATAGGCCGGTGCGTCCTCTCCTTTTGCCAGCAGTCCAACATCAACTGGTATATGGTTTCTGGACAGTCCATAGGTGCTGGTAACCGGTAACCTTTTTCGATGGACTTGATCACATCCTGGTTACTCCAGTTCCAGTACGGACGTTCGCCGTAAGACATCACCTCCCATACTACAATACCGAACGACCATACGTCGGACGCGGAGGTGAACTTACGGAACGCTATGGCTTCGGGTGCGGTCCACCGGACCGGTATCTTACCGCCCTGGAAATTCGAAAACTGTCAATAAACACACAACAATCCGGTTAGTCCGTCGTTTAATACAAAAACTGAAAATGATTATTGTAATTTAGGAGGTAAGCGTTCTCCATAGATCAACTTACCCTCGTCGTGTACGCCCCTTCGGTAGTGCTTTCGATCTCTCGGCTCAGACCGAAATCTGCTATTTTGCACACCAGCTGAGCGTTGACTAGTACGTTGCGCGCAGCCAGGTCACGGTGCACGTAGTTCATTTCGCTGAGGTACTGCATGCCAGACGCGATGCCGCGCAACATGCCGACCAACTGTAGGACTTGAAACTTTCCGTCATTGGCCTAAGTTAATTTACATAAATACAGATTATTACACTTGAAATATTAAAATGTTCAGTTGGGACGACCGCGACATAGTTATGATTTATAATGATATTGTATGTAATTTTAGTATGCGCTCACTCTCAGAAACGTATCCAATGAACCGTTTTCCATGTATTCGGTGATAATCATCACCGGGTTTGATCGGGTGACGACGCCTTGTAGGAATATTACGTTGGGGTGTTCAAATTGTCCCATGATTGAAGCCTCGGTCAGAAAATCGTTGCGGGCTTTGTCAGTACTACCAGGTTTCAGAGTCTTGATGGCTACGTCGACTTCGACGGAAGGAGATCCGAGAACTTTTAATTTCCCCCGACATACGTCCCCGAATTCTCCACCACCTAACAGGAAAAACAACATACATCGTTTACACACACGTTCGATTGATTGCGGTATATAATGGTAAATAGTTAAGAAAGTATGTTGTGGTGGTAGCGAGCACAGTGGTATTTATATATCGCCATCATTAAGACTGGGAGTTTTACGAGTTGCAATAAATTGTTCAGTACTATTTGATACTCGTTTCATTACAAATGTAGTATTAAATAAACAATAAACTTTATTTACCATTCTTTTGAGTACATAACAAAATTTAATGTCGTTGTAAAATATAATTTTATATTGAAATACTATTTTGAGTTATTAGCTCGTAGAAAATAATCCTATTTTGTACAGTGCATTTTTATAAATTATCACCGCTATCATCATTAGCGTCACTCACCGATGATTGCTTCGATTGTGATATACGAAGCATCAATTTCTCTTGCGAACTCTTTAACTGCTTGATTCGGGTCTTCGTATGTATGAGGGTCAATGTACGATCTAGACGTGGTCGAGCCAACTTGTGTGAACAAAGGTGTGGTCACTGTAAGATACACATAAGATAAGTACAAATCTGATAGGATTCATAAAAAGTCGTTGTTAATGAAAAAAAAAAAAATTAAGGCGCAAAAGTGGAAAACTATTAGCCATGGACTTACTGCTGCTAGTGTGAGTGGCAACTATGGGAGGATTGTCCAAATTGCAATGCACTGGAAAACAAAAACAAAACACAAGTGTTCACACCAAAAGCACAAAGCAGAATGCAGGCAAACAAAAATAAACAAAAATGTTAGCATTCGTCAATCAGCAGTTTGCGCCCGATGGTTATTAGGACAAAAAAAAAATTATTATGTAAATGGATGTACTAAGAGCAACATACACGGATATAGGGAGGTACTACAGTCATAGGCAATACTCAATACATAAGTAAAAACAAAAAATAACAAACAAACTAACACATTACTACTACACGGATCTAATTAACTTTGAGTAGGTATTTGAATGAAAACGGAATATAGAAAAACGCATAGTTGTTGAAGTAGGTATATAAAACGTGTACGAATGAAACAAATGTCTATTAATTATCTAGGGAAAACTATATAATACACTTACTGTAGGTAACAACAAGTCCTTGGGATGCATGTAAAACACACGAAAACATGAAAACTAGGTAGTGCACGTTAATTTATAGGGATACAAAAGGTAAGTCTGTGTGGAAATTTGCTCTGAACTAAAAGGAGCGAAGGTTATTAACGGCATGAGTTACCGTCGCCGAATAGTTATTTATATTTTTTACTTGTAAAATTAACTAATGCTATGTGGATCCTAGATGTTTATTTATTTTTATTTTAAAACTATATAACCGCCAAAATACACGGTCTCTTACCTTCTCCGTTTCTGTATTCTAACGTGTCGCAATCGCTTGGTTGTTTTTTGTTGCATTCATCATTACTCCGGCTGAAAACAAAAATGGGAAATATGTTAAGTTATGAATATGATTACTGACTACTTTGTCAAAAGCTTCACATCAAGTGACGCAACAAAGAGAATAAAAACAAAAACAACGCACCTCCTTAAGAACAATACCGTCATGATGATGACGACCACTAAGACAACCACTACCGCGACCGTGGCACCTGCGATTATCCTAACTTCCATGTTATCTTCGTCACCGATGTAGGCTATAATGGATAAAAAAAACACAAAACAATCCGTTAGCAAACGACATACTTGCAATTCGAGCAGCCGAACTCAAAAAAGGGACGACGGCCTCTCATTCTCAACAATCAATTTGTTTTACCCGTATCATCTTTAATCCCGTTTTTTCTTTGGACTTGTTGTTGTGTGTTCTTACCGCTTCCGAGCAATTGCCCCGTCGTTTTGTAAATGGTCGGGCTGTATTCGCCCCAGCCGTGAGCGGTCTTCGCTCGCACCTGGAATCCGTAGTCCGTCTTGGGCCTGAGTGCCGTAAACACCATGTGCCTGTCGGCGGTGAGTTTGTTACTGACGTTTGACTCATCACCTCGGGGATAGAACTTCACCTGTGGGTGGTGGAAATACAAAATATACAGCATTAACAAAAGACTCCTTCTCAAACATACTTCACTTATCATTTGAGGGTCACGCAATACTTACTTCGTACACTTCGACGGCGGCGTCGTCATCTCCAGAATCGAAGAAGCTCGCCATGGGCGGGTCCCAAGAAAGCGTGATCTCGGACGCCTTTACCAACATGACACGGACATTGTTGACGGATGCGGACTTCACGGAAGCTTCGGTAGTGGTCACGGCTATGTCGACGAATTGCCGGTTCTCGGACGACGTGAGATTACTGACACCGTTTTCGGCCCATACGTGAAATTTGTAAGTTGTTACCGGACTCAAACCACTTATCGTTATCTTAGTATCGTTGAACACCTCCTGAAAATAACCACACGTGGTCATATAATAATATGTATATATATAACTTATAGCCCACCCATATAATGTGGTTGTATAGAGAGCGAGTGTGCACGATTAAATCGTAGAGAGAGAGAGAAGATTGGGATGAGTGGACATATTATATTTTATTTACATAAAGGATATTTTGTGCTTATATATTATACTCACGTTGTTAGGCATGAACACAACGGACGGACCGCACATGTCGCACGTCACCCTGTACACGATATCGGTCCTGCCACCGAGGAAGTTCGGGGGGTTCCACGACAGGGTCACAGTCGACTGGTCCACAAAGTTGACTGTCAAGTTTTGCGGAGCTGACGGCGGCTCTATATTATAAGTAAAAAAAAAAATAAATAAATATCTTCGTTTATAAAATATATTATATTGTATTAATATTATATATTGTTGTGCGCGCACGAGCGTCAGTGGTGGATGTAATAATAATAATAATAATATTATTATTTACGGCCGTAAGGTAAACGGGTAAATTCTAAATTGACTGAGCGCAAGGAATAGGTACGCCACTGTAGTAAACAAAAACGGAATAGAGAGAGAGAGAGAGGGATAAAGAACGAGAAGCAGACGGACAGACTGCAGGAAGCTCGTATAATAATAATAATAATAATAATATGAAATGCCTTCCAATGAATATATAAATATAATAATACAACTAACCGGCTTCGAATACGCGTACTAGCCGTAAATAATAAGATCAGGTCGACGAGGACAATTATCCTTTGCACATATGCACCTATATCCATTTTACATATATATATATTATATATATACGTACGGACGTGTATAGTTATCACGCATATATACAGTATAATATGTGGTACCTACGTTCTGCGCCGTCGTAATAATAATTATAAACGAATACACACAACAACAGCCGCAGGGTGTCCTGCACTACTAGGTACATACACGATTAAGTGTATCGTAAAATTTCGATTTCGTATTTATATATTCACGTACAACATAAGTGCACATTGCAGTGTATACCTATGTTATAGAATTTACATGACTAAGTTGGGATGTCGATCGCGGGAAAAGGCCACTGTATACCTACGTCGTGTATAAAGTGTGTTGTATGTGTGTGGGCGTATGGCGAAATCGTTATTTGTTGTAACAGGATGGACAGATATTATACAACGTCGTCAACAGAGGCAGGAATCTATATATACTTTGGAAGCACAAAATGCTAGCATTTTCCACTACGACGATGACGTTCACCGGAGTGGTATCCGAAGACAAATAAAACGACGAGACGAGACGAGTACTAAGTTCAGGGTCATCATTTTCTCCTTTTGTCGAGGTCGACTTCACTGGGTAAACACGTCCTCTGTTTAAATATTCACCGAGTCTCTCCCGTCGTTACTATATATGTATTTATATGTGTGTATATATAATATACCTATATATATTCTTTGCTCAGACTTAAAAGAATAATAAACTCACTTTTTCTTTCGTCCGCCACTTATACCACCACCCACTCTCACCCAGAGCCGATTTTTATTTTTGTCATATACCCAGAAAAGTTGCAGAAGCCCGAAAATATATTATAGCTATACACGCTGTTATCAAATAATTAGCTAAATGTCTGCACACGAAAATTAGCTTTTGTCGTAATGTTAAGCACGCAATGTTTTTATTTTTATTTTCTTCGATTAGTTTACGAACACAACTAAAATGAATATAATATACGGATGAATGTTTATATTTAACTATTTATGTATAGGTACTGGCCGCTTTAGAAAATTCAATAGAAACAACTTTGTTTATTATCATTATTATTTATTACTATTATATTTTATTATTATTGGAAATCTATCGGTGAAGGTATTTTTCATTTATTCAAAAAAAAAAAACACAAATTATAATAAAAATAAAGGAAATATATCGCTTGTCGTTTGAATGAAATTTTTTAATTGCAGTGCAAAAAAGAAGAAAAATGAAAACCGTAAAATTTAACGGGCATCACCTCCACAGCAAACGCACGCATAACGTCGGGAGCCGACTTGCTTATATTTTCATTAAAAATAAAAATAATAACAGAAAACTCTCGGGAAGCAGCAATGGTGTTGGTGGTAAATGTGCGCGGTTGGTAGTTTTAATTATTAAAAACCAAAAAGATTTTAATGAAAATAATTCTTTATAAACAACCGACTGTGACGGCGGCGGCGGCGGCGGCGGCTACGTACTTTTTTGCCCCCTTTGCTGAGTGCGCAATTTCCGGACAATTTATTATGGCTTAACCTCTCGGGATAAAAAACGGGAAACGAAAGAATGAAAGAAATTTCGCTTAAAGTAATCTCGTGCGAAACTACTACGTTCCCCAACCTGCACCAACAGCACCGCCGCCGCCGCCGAAGCAGTCGCGCGATCGTATGAAAAGCGATTGGGATTTATTCGTCAATTGAAATCGGATATAAATAATAATGCGACGACGGATAATAACTTTTACCGACTGTAATATATATAAAACCTATTACGGATGCAAAAAAAAACTATTATGGAAAAAGCCAAAAGAAATATATACCACCGCCTCCGTCTTAGCCTTTGACAGATTTAAAAGGTTTTAGCCGCGCGGTCCCGGCGCCGAAATGAATTCTGTAGATAGAGGTTTTCAAGTGTAGATAAAAAAAAATATATACATGTAGGTATGTTTAAATATAGTATATACACACAGACATACACTCACGTATAATAATGCTTTGTGTCACGGGAGTTTTTTCTTTCTTATTTTTTCTCCTCTCGTCGGCAGTCTAACGCAATCAAGCACTCGTCACACGGTGAAAAATGAATTAATACCCCCAAACGCAACGACGGAAGAAGAGCGAAATCTTCTGCCTCATATATCGTATTACGGTGAAATTTTCCCGGATTATTGACAAAACACACTATACCGAGTGAATCAGTCTAATTATCATCAACAAGCTTACGACGATGAGTGAGGTAGGTGTTTTACGTGCCACGACGTCGTCGACGTTCGAGTGTTGAACACTTCAGCAGGGGATAAAAAAAATACTTGCTTTGTCAAACTCGAAACCCGAAAATAATTAGCCAGCAAATCATAATTTTCTAACCATTGGATTTTTTGTGCAACCGCGACATGTATATTATATATATATATATAGGTATTTACACGACCACTATAATGTACAACGGTGCGCACGGGGTTTATGGAGTACCAACTTCCTTGTGAGAAAAAAAAACCGTTCTCTTCACCACACCAGACGTGCTTCTACACGACAACGATATATATATCCACGTACGTCGCACACACTAATAATAATAAAAAGTGGTGTATACGAAAAGACAAAAAAAGAGAGGTTGGGCCGCCGCCGCTTTGTATACTGCGGCAACAGCATTTTTGAAGAGTTCGTCTGGGTAGGTCGTGCCGAGGCGACTTTTCTCATTATATTCCATGAAACATAAAAGGATGCACATCCCTTTTTAGGTTTTTAAGCTTTGTAAATTCAGTATGTATGTATGGTATATATAAAGTACTTATGTACAATGTATACGTACACGTACATAAGCGCAGAAGTTGTAGTATTCGAATTGTGTATGTAATAGTATTTCTAAACATAATGAGATGAATAATTTTTATAAGTGATACAAAAGTTAAGGAAAATAAACTAGAACAAATGCCGAAAATAATTAATAATTATTTTTACATTATAACTATACATTTTTGTGGAAAATTCGTTTTTTGATTAAATTAATTTAGAAAGATTGAGTGAAAGAGATGTTTTGCGATGGAATCCATGACCGTGAGAATCCAGTAATGGATTCCAAAGAAAAACAATATATATATAGGTACATATATATTCAGTAGAAGTAAAAAAAAAAAACAAAGTCGGGTTAAACTGAGCGAGTTTTTCTTTTAGATTTATAATTCCTAAGGGTTTATGAAACGTAGGTACACATATATACTGCATACGAAAATATTTATATAGAAAAAAAATAATAAAAAAATAAATTATACTCGTATCGATCATTGTGACTCTCCTTGTATACGTCCGTCGTCGTCGACGTTTTTCCTGGTCGGACGCACACGCGGGCCCTATTTTTTTTCCTTATTTCAATTCCAAACGAACGAACTGTTGTATGTACTATAACCCGCCGCTGGCACGATAAACATCTGCTGATAAGTTAAGTTTTCTACGTCAATCTGCGCAGGGCCGTGTTTACTGTCTTTAGAGATTTATCGTCGGCTCAGCATTACGGTTTCTTTTTACCTCCCCATCCACCACGCACACCTCTCACATCCTATCACTCGTATATATTCTCCGCCACCGTCGCCGTCATCAGTCGTTCTTCACTAAAACGTCGTCCCCGGAGATGAGATAAACATCTCAAAAAGAAGTGTAGCCCAGAGAGAGCGAGAGAGGTTAGAGACAGTGCGAGGGGAAAGGAGAGACAAACCGATAGAAATTCAGGAACTCGGAAATCTGCCGTATAGGTTTTATTTTAACGGACCAGACTAGTTTTTTTTTTTTTTGTCATTCTCATACTTGTCCGTACGACAGTACCCCTCGGAGAAGGACCCGTTATTATATTGTGTCGTATAGCCACAGCCGCCGACGAACCTTCGGGTTTTCTCAGAAGATAAACATCGGTGGTCGGATGACATGTTTTGTCCCAACGATACATAACAATAGTATTGGATTTCGCAACAAATTCTTTGAACGAAATGATGTTATATTATGTGTGTGTTATTTACCTATTGGGTTTGGTCAGCCGATTATTGGTGAATTTTCGGTGTGGTTGTTTGAACGACAACAATGTTAGCCGTTAGGTCACCCTATTCCCTATAGGTTATGTATGCTCAGTCTCACCTAAATTGCTCTACACGAATCGATATTATGTTTGTATATATACAAAAAAAAATATATATATATATAATATATATAATATATATGTTACGGTCAAAAGCCGAAATCGGGCAAACCTCAGAAATGCCCGGGCAAAACGCGATCTGCCCACAATCCTTGGGCAAAATATCATATTTCGGCTTTTGACCGGGCAAACCTAGTTATGACCAACCTCATTTGGGCAAAACCATATACCGACTTTTATCGTAATGGCAAAACCGTAGTGTCAATAGTACAATTATACAAATATAATTGAATAAACTTAATTAATACATTTAAACCTCACTTGAGCCAAACTGTAGCGTTTATAATAACCACATACAAAAAATTAATAATCATAAAATATTGTACAGATATAATTGAATACACTTAAATAATAATAAAAATATAATGATATTAAGAACTAGTATAAAAATAAACATATAATAATATTAGGTACTCTTATAATGTTAAAATAAATAATTAATAAAAAATATTGTACAGATAATATAATTGAATAAAATAATAAAAAATAATATTTTTGTTTATTTGTTGCTACATATATTAGAACCATGGCATTTAGAACTACACAAAATATTTTGTTGTTTACATTTGCATAGTCTCGTAGTGCACTTAGTTTTGCACTTTTGCAAGAACAAAAAATAAACCCTTGTCCTTCAGTTAATGAATTTTGAGTACTAGCAGTCCTCAGTGGTATTTCGATATTCGGTACATCATTGCTACTAATAAATTGTTCCTTGCATTGAAATATTTGGTTTTTGGCATAAAGTGATGACAAAATTCCATTTTTGATTAATATTTTATAGAATCCTTTAATATTATAGGTAACGAGTTGATAAAATACGATAACAACGATAAATTAACCAGATACGTGGGGTAATTTATAATCGTATTAAATTCGTACGACAAAAATCACTATTTCTATTTAATATTAGAGAACGTATATAAGACACTACGGTTTTGCCATTACGATAAAAGTCAGTAAACGGTTTTGCCCAAATGAGGTTGGTCATAACTAGGTTTGCCAGGTCAAAAGCCGAAATATGATATTTTGCCCAAGGATTGTGGGCAGTTCGCGTTTTGCCCGGGCATTTCTGAGGTTTGCCCGATTTCGGCTTTTGACCGTAACATATATATTATCATTTTAAAGATAGGTGCAATTGTGTTTACAATCCGATAAGATCATAATATGATTTAAAAAATGATAGAAATTTCTGTTGCAATTTTTTTTTTTGCAAACTGTCAGTTATTCGAAACCCACATACTGGAACATAAAAAGATATTATCATTTAACTGTATATTTCGAAATCAACGTTTAAAAATAATAACAATTTAAAAAAAAAAAATTTCTTAACTTTTTATTACGTAACATAATATTTGAGATTGTAAATCACATAACCAAAAATGTTCGTGTATGAATTAAATAAATAAATAATTCGATAATTGTTTCACAAATAAAGCGATTAAAATAAAAACAAATATTGACGTTAACTGCGTAAATCAAATTAAACCAAGTTGGGTTTATAAATAATTTATATTTTAAAATAGAGTCAATTTAAATTGTATTATTACTTCTTACTATATATAGGTACAGAGCAGTTCGTTTGAAATTTAAAACGTATTAAGTTCAAATATTGACATGGCGTGGAACTAGTTTTTTTTTAATGCTCGTTTAAATAACTTTATCATAATAATGATCGTGAATGACGTTTTTAAATTTTCTCGTTGAAATGAACTTTAATACAAGACATTCAGTCAATATAGATTGTATTTTAAACGCAGTCATTATAATATACGAGCGATGGATTTATTTCTTGCTTTTTCTAGTAAAGTACAATTATCTATAGGTTTCCAAGCAAAAGCTGCAGTGAGGACGTCGACATTCAAACAATATAAATAAAAAAAATACAATTCTCTGACTACAATAGAAGAACAGAAAAACGCCGGGTAAAATCTAATCTGTTTAAAATATAATAATATAAAAGAAAATATTTATGCATACTATATTATTACGATGTATGCATATATATATAGAAAAATCCCTGTGGAACAAATGCAAATATTATAAAGTTTCGGACGGCAAGTCGTTTACTTTGATGTGGTTCTGCGGGTTTATATATTATATTGCCTGTAAGGGTGGGTGTGATGGAGATGGAGAGGAACGGACGGAGAGAAGACATGACGGCGAATGGTTATTATTAATATTGCCAAGTTTCTAAATGGCGGAGATTTAGCGGAATTCGCCGGGCTTTTGATATAACTACCAAAATAATAACTGCTGGTGCTGTGACCGCGAGAGATCTTTCGCGACCGCGACTTCAAAGTCGTTTAAAACCCCCACGCGGTTTAATGGAACGTCCTTTTTCAATTCCGTCCGAGAACAAATGACTGAACAAATTTAATTACACATTAAGCTGTACATACTTAAGCTGCACATTAAGCCGAACATAGCTCCCCCCTCTACCCGCACGAGCAATTACCAGACGAAAAAACTAGACGGCTCGCGTCGTAAGAGATCGTCTTCAAAGACAAAGTACATCATACAATATACAATATATAATAATAACTAAACTGCTTTTTCACAGAGTCCGCGTGGTCTCTCGCTGGAAATGTACGACGATTAATAATAATCTCACAATAATATATTCAAACACGTTGAAAAGCGCGATGGCGATCGTGCGTGCGCGTACAATATATATATCGTTATTATATTATATTGCAATATAATACTCACGCGTGCACGGCACCGATTTCGGATCTTTAGGCGACCTGTAGTATCCGGTGTTGCACCTGCACTCGGACATCCCCTGGTCGGGTGCTTTGCTGTGCGCCGGACACGGCTGACACTTGTCGTCCCCGACGCCGTATTTGTACTTGCCCGGAGGACAGACTGAAGAAGAGAAAGAAAAAAACCACATTAGACAAACTGCGCAGCTCGTATCGTTATAAAAATCTGTTTCATCGCATATATATAGCATACATATATAAAAATAATAATAATAATATTAATATTAATATAAACGCGCGTTCGTCCCGTGTGCCACGCCTGCGGTTCATTAAACTCCCGTGCGCGCGCGTTAATTGCTCACTACACACACACACACATACGTTTAAGCCCCTATTATAGTTCTGGTGGTGGTGGTGGTGGTGGTGGTAATAACTGCCCTGAGGGGAGAGAAGGCGAGCGATGTAGAAAGAGAGAGATAGTGTGTATACATACTATATACTAGTATATTATAGAAGAATGATAGATGGAGTACACCGTTGTTGGCGTGTATTGGCGTTATATTAATAGAGACAAATTGTTTGTGGATGCGTTACACACACACACACACACACACACACACACACACACACACACACACGCGTATAACCCGCCGACCCCTTTTCGATTAAGATTGATATCCCTGAGGATCACCTCCGCCACCACGATATACACATATAATATATATATAAATTCACGCACAATTCCGAGACCGGTGTATAATATGTAGACTACTGCTGCGATACAATATATATATAATATATATTATATTCTTGTAGTATATTATAAAGTATATAGATAGCGGAGCAGTAGCGAACATTTATCACCCTGTATATAATAACACACGTAGTCGACCCGCCTGTGTATCGCTCGTACATATCCGGCCCGCGGGCCGTCGCATGGTTCGGAATATTAAAGTGCGACCACGATATACATCATATTATTATTATTATTATACGGCTATACTATATATTATTAGGTATATCGCTACCGCGCAATCCCGGTCCCCGATTCGACAACCTGTACGTTTGATTTTTGGGAGTCCAGGGTCTCGATTATAATCGAGTCTCATCGCAGTCGACATGAATTATTATTATATAAAATATTAATAATTAACGCATGTATTATATGGAACTTAACGACGTTTATACGTTGATAGCTATCAACTATAGTGTGCAATAGTGACGTTTCATTATTTTAGAATTTGAATAGATTTTTTTTCAATTGAAATGTTCACAAAAATTTTTAAAAGTTTATTTCAGAGAGTTTCTCTACTATTTATATTATTAAGTATATTTTATTATTTTAGGTAAAAGTGAACTTATAATATGGTTTGTGGTTTGTTCACATACAGACATATAGCCATCGATACACATCACGTGCATCTGTTAGAAAGAGACGGATGAGTGAGATGACAAACTCATAGTTTGTGTGAGTTTGAGCGAGTTTCACTGCAGTTTATATAACTTGCTACAAACAGGCAAAAACTTTATTTTTTTAATCCACCACGTACACACATATATACACATTGATACATTTCAACGGGCGTTTCCGAAGGCAAAACTTGTGAGCACTGCAGAAGTATATATTGTTTTTATTTTATACACACAACCGTACTTCAGTGTGTTTTATTTTCAGCAAAACCTCTCGCAGTGAGTATTAGAGTGTTTTTGGTGCTCTACTCTATATAAACACCACGACTTCGATTAATTGAACTCTAAAGGTCCGGAAACCAATAATTATGTAACCAGATAAAAAAGTTTCACATTGAAGGGACGGGAATCCGACGGCGACAAAAACGAAATTAAAAAATGCTCTCTACAGCGCGTTGCATACGATAATATTATTATTATTAGATGAAACACAGGAGACGTGTATACGCAACATTTTACTTGATATATTTTTATTATAATCGTAATTCTCGACAAAGTTCGTCGTAAAAGGTTAGACATATTATTAATAATGATATAGAAAATAAAATAAAGATAAAAATTCGCAACGACGCGACAACAAGAAATTTTACAGTGTTTCGTTGGGAGGTGTTTAATATCTAAGAGAAAAAAAAACAAAATACTATTGCTAAACAATTGGGCCACCAGAAACGCACTCTTACCTCCCGTCGCGGATACTTCAGCATAACATAATCATTATCCGAAGTGGATCCTATCATCAATAATTATGGGCGTCTACATTGATATACCTGTACGGCTGCACCACTAAAAGATTTATTTCACTATATTATAATTTATCTATAGAAAAGTGCACGTAGACCAGTTAGATTTGCGACGCGACCCAACAAAGTTTCGGAAAGCGCGTTCTGAGCAGGGGAGATATATATTATATACGGCTTGTTTCAAGACGGACATCATAATAATTCCAGTCCATGTCGTAAAATACGACAACGGCGGTAGTTACCATATAATTTTACGGACTATATTTTTAACGTATGCTCATGTTTTTTTCATATACTTTACACGGTTTGCGTTTTACATGGTATCCGGGTTTATGTCGCCGGCAAAAAATAATATCGTTATGCAGGTCTCGTCGCAAGCTCGGGCGTATTCGTACACATTCCATAGTTGGATGTCATTAGTTCACATTATGATAGCATTATATCTGTTCACCTGACATCTTTTTCGTTCTATCGCACCGCGTATACATTTTACACGTGTATACCCACCGGTGTTTCCGTTATCCAGTGCGTCCGTATATTATAATATAATAATAAGTTCCGTCTACCTACGCGAAAACGATACACCGCTCGAGAGCGACGCACGACGATGAAGCGATTTCGCTGGAATCTAGGGAGAAGAAGAATCGCGCGGGGCCCACGCTAGCGCACGACATCGGTTTGAAAATAATAATAATAATAATAATAATAATAACGACAGCCGCACAACAACGTAACGGGGCAATTATAAAACGCGTTATTATATATTGAAATAATAATAGTAATATATTGTGCGCATTGTATTCGATAATAATATTCAGACATTATATATGTGTATACTGCATACAATATACCTGAGCATATAAATCGCTTATTAAACAAACACCGACGGCGGCGAACACACTCACACGCGCAAACACGCCGTCCAGCTAGTCCACCGAATCTGCATAAAACTCGGATAACGTCGATGGGAGAATAATATAAATAAACGAGTTAATGGGCTTTTTGGCGTATTGTCGAGCGAAGAGTGCACGCCGCCACACTCACACACACATACACACGTATTGCCGGGTATACTAATTAACGTTACCGTTCTAATATTTATTTATTTTTTTTTTACTTTAATCGAACCGGATTCTTTTTTCCTATGTATGCATGTATAGGTACAAACGGCATCGATAATAATATGATATTTGTGCGAGAGAGAAAATATTACCACCGTATAATATATACGTACATAAAAACGTATATAATATGTATAATAAATAATAACACTAATAAAAATGCAGTAAACGTTCGGTAGGTACTTATGCATATGTATACATCACATTATTATTTTAAAAATGTATTAGTATGTACCTACGAGTAATTTTTCGAAACGATATCCGACAGAAAAAAGCTAAACGCGCTAGCAGTCGTACCAACTACCTACTTGTAGGGTAGGTATTATATTAATATGTACATGGAAATAACCATTTACTGTGCGTTGTGCGTACACGCCGTGCACCATCGGAGGACGATTGTTAAAATTGGCCGGAGAGGTTTGTGTGTACCTACGAAAAGAATTTCTTTTGAAATAACGATCAGATGGAGAATTTGCGATTAAACCTTTGGCGAGCGAGACGAAAAATCGGTTTGTTCAGGTATATATATATATTAAATATTATAAAGGACGCGATGCGCCCCACCCTCACCACTTTCCTTTTACGGGTAACACGAGATAACATAGTTTCCCCTTATCACGGCTAATTATCTCCGACTCAGTCTCGCGCGAAAACTTTGCCGGGTTCAAACTACTACACTGCCGTCAGCCCCCAACCCCCACCCCTCCCACCAACCAATCCAGGACTTGTGACTGCTTGTGTAAATATAGTGCGACAAACGACCTTTGATATAATTTATAATCGGGCCAAACTGAATCCAGCGTGCTTATTATTATTATTATTGTTAAAGTAAGGCGAAGGAACTCGTCGTCGTCGTTGCTGTTGTTATCGCTATTGCTGTGCCTGTATAATGTCTGAGAAAAGGATCATTTTAATTGGATTTCCGGTCGGCTTTTATACGAGATAACACGTGTACATTGTCTGCTTGAGCGATGAATGATGATACTCAAAAGCGGTTCAATAGACTTTTTAATTAAAAACCATAATTTCTCGGATGAGACAATATCCGTATTTATGTAAAATAATTGTATGCTATAATATACACTTGTTATAAAATACACAACAGGCAATATTTCACTTAGTTTTTACTTTTATAGTATTCGAAAATTTGACAAAATAATTTTTAATTTAGTATAATAATAATCAATAATATAGGTATAATTGAATAGGTATTTACGAATTATTGACCATGTGAAAATAAGATCACAGAAGATAAATTGATCAGGTAATACAAGTATTAATATTTACCTGAAGTTTATAGTTATGTACAAAAGTCGAAGTTTTTCTATAAACAAAAACGTTGGACACGATCAATAGCGTATTTCAATTCTAAAGTATACTATTTGTACGAAATACTACTAACATGACGGACGAATATTATGTAATATCAATTTAACAGCAATGTATTGATGAGACGATATTATGCTTTATGGACAATGTTCATAAAATATAATCTGTGTTGAAATAAAACAACTTTGATCTCATTATGTGATCTCGCTTGTCAATATTTCATGAAAAATATTTCCAATGAACACTTATTCTTTATATTAAACGTTTGCACAATACTTACTTATACAAGTTTGCGCTTCTATGTCTGCTTCAAAACCAGCTTTGCACTTGCATCCACCTGACGGCAAATACCATTTTCCGTCTCCTTTGCACAGGTAAGTTGGAGCACCGCCTCCTACCACTTCAGCATTATCTACACATTTGCCTGTGGCATGTTCGATTTGGGTAAGTTCTCTAGCAGTTGGAGTAGCTGAGAAGTTTGCAAAGTTTATCACAACTTCTGGGCACACGATGTAATACACCTGCGGCAAAGTCCAAATGTTAATTTTAACTTAAAAATGCATAAATATAATAATATACTACATATTATACACGATATTACTATACATAATATATTATTAATTATTAACATTTGTAAGTATATCAAAACAACGGCAGTTCCATGCATAAAATTAAAATAAATCGGTTTGATTTTTAATATCAAACAGAAAATATATTTATACATCGATGCAGGGTTTGCCGTTAAAATCAACTGCAGCAAAAAAAAAAAAAAAAACGTTTATACTATTATTTTTAAGATTTTTATTATTCCGTCGATCAGCATGGGGTTTTTACACATGTATATTGTATAAATATATATGCATATTAAGTAATATATTAAAAGGACAAGAAAAAACCATAAAAAAAATCATGTCTTCGACGGTCCCGCGGCTCCAACCCACCCCAAAACGCCCATTTACGGACTTTATATTATTATATCATATTATATACATACACATATAATATATTTGTTAATTTTAAACGATTAGGTAGTATGCTGTTACATAAAAAGCTATTTCTGTTTGATCGCAGTTGTTATCTTACATGCTGCATTTTTGTTTAATTCGTTTCATATTATATTAGTATATCTTTAGTCTATAATAACGGGAGATGACAGAAATATCATCTCTGGAAAAAAAGACGATTTAGGAACGCCATTTAAGTTAAATATAACCCGTAAAACGACAAGTTTAGACAAAAAAAAAACCGAAATGAAATGTTTATTTGCTCGTAAAATAAAAAATTTAGAATATATTATATACGTACATTTTGCTTTTATAGTTCTAAACATTATATTGTAAAGTACGAAATATTTTTGTTAAAAGATAAACGAAGGGGTATAAAAGTTATTGAGAGTTAGTGAGTCGGTTAGTAAATAATAGTTACATATAGAGCGTGCAGTATACTTGTACAATAGACGTTGTTCATTCGATGTTACTACCTACCTATACGTCTCAAGGGTGTAATTTTTAATTCATATATATATATAAAATTTAATAATATTAGACAGGTATTTGTTGCGCATGGTCGATGGCAGATGTTTTATGTAAGTATTTTATTAATATACTATCGTGTATGTATAGGAATAATTATTATAACGTAACTGCCTAAAATGATGTATACAGAAACATCTATTTCTGGAATTCATAAAATCGTCACTTATAAAAGTTACTTTAGTGTATATGATATTAAATACATTTAAATGGCATCAAAAAAGTTATTTTTTTTTTATAAACCTTTAGTCGCCAATTACAAAAAAGGAGTTTCATTATGCGAATTAAAAAGTTTTCGGTAATTTGTCTTTCAAGATTTCGGAGTCTCTAGAGATAAAAAGGCTTTTACGCATTAAGAAACTTAATAATTACAGAAACCCTCTGGCTTAAGCATAAAATACTCTTTATAGGTATATAGGCTATAAATTATACAGGGAGGGGATCATGACCGTTTTAATGCATTTCTGTGAACTATACAAAACGAATTTACACACGCACGTACGTAAAGGTATACCCACGTCAACATTTGATCGATCCAAGTAGATTTTATTTAATTTAACATTAAACGAGTTAAATCCTTACGAAATTACTATTGTATATTTGAAGCACCTACTGTTGTATAGTAATAACTGATAACTTTAAGGTATTCATTTTTATTGGGTGGGGAAGGAATTTAACAAAGCAAACATAAATTACTGTATGTGTTCCGTTTTGTCTGAACACGATGCCTAAGTGACATTTGTAGCAATCAGCTAATTTTTTTTTTCTTTTCCTGCTAAGCTGTAAATATCTCGGACAACTCAAACACCAGCCCGCGAGTGTATTTAGTTTCCGAGGCCTGCTGTGGCGGTACGCGTACGTTATATTATACACCGTCGTATTGTACAGATCGACCTTATCGCGCCGCGTTTATATTATATAAGTAATCACGAATTCATATTTCGACGGATACTAATGGTGTGATATCTCGTGTTCCGTATAACGACGGTTTCTCCCTCGTAGAATTCCTCAGTGTTTTATTTCTCTCCCGTGTTTTATTTTATTTATTCCACGGCGAAATTTACGACCCGGTCCGCGAGACGTTACCGTATTAACGACAATAACTATAAATTCGCCCACCGGGTCTCTCTGACATAATTATTGCATCGCGTTCTCGTCCGTGTAGTCTTTCGCTTTTTTTAACTCTTTTCTCTCCTCCATACTCCCCTCTCCTATCCCTTCTCAACGGCGGCACCGCTGCACGACAACTATATAATATATACATATACCTACATTTATACAATATACACGTATAAAGAACGCTTAACAGTATAGACGAGATTTTGTTTTTCTAATGTGACACAATCTAACAGCATCAGATTTACAGGCGTGGGATATGATTAGAGGGGAAAAGAAAAAACGCCAGGCGAGCAGAAAAAAAAACAGAAACACGAAAATCAAATTATATTTTATATAATATATACACGTGCCAAAAACCGGCGATTATGCGCGTGAATTATTATTAATTTTATAAACAACACCGTCATCGCCGACCTTTCTAAATGATCTTGTAAATTGTAATCAAAACAAACAACGGAGAATAATAACTCTTTGCGTTATGCCCGCATTCGCGTAAACCCAATCTTCTAACGTCATACGCCGGTGATAAGATACGACGACCATCGGATTCATTTCGCATAATTGAAGAGAAGAAAAAAAATAGGCACACAAAGTATGACAGTAAAAACGACCCGGTCTCTTTTATAATAAATTAACGTGCATGCAATTATTATTATATTATTAAGTACGTGTTATCTCGTCTTACCTTGACGGCCATGATGGAAATGCACGCACCCTGGTCCCTGAAGGCAAAGTACACTCCTTTTTTGGTAACTTTCACGGCTTTTGTCTCAGTATTGATCACCACTTCGTTATTAGCGTTGAACCTCCCCTCACCGGCAGCTATCCGACCTGTAACACACCACGTAATCATAAATATATATTTTAAAATCGAATCGTTATAAAAGTGTGTAGGTAATAGGTATACTTTATAGATATACCACCTAACTATATAGTATATATATACTATTTCGGACGTTGAAATTTATATCGATGTATATAATATATAAATGTTTCGTGCGTTATTACTACCTTCGAAACAAGTGTTTCGGGATAAGACAAAGAGATATAGATCATCAAAGGAATAATATCTATCTTTAGATCTAACATCCTACTATATATTATAGTGTTTTTCATCGCCCTCTCGAGTTCCTTTGATTAAACGCGTTTCATCGCTAAGAATATATACTGTATATAGACCTCTCTAAAAATGTAAATTATTTATTGAAACGTACAAAATAAAATGTATGCTAATTAAATTATGATTAATTTGAATATTGAATTATTACTATGTTAAAATAATAGATATCGTCCTCGCGATGTTTTAATTCAGAGATAGCTAAGTTATTGTAATTATTGTATACTTATTTCCACATGTTTTTTTCTTTTTTTATTAATCTCTTCTTTCTTTGTAATCGTTCGTATTGTAAAATTGTTACACTTTAATACTTAGTTCTTACTATTTATACCATATATTGAGATCCAATTTTCAAATGTTAAAAAATTTAATTATATATACATAAGTTTAGATGATGACTGTCAGGAAAACTTTAAAAAAAATAATAGATGTGCTAGACGTATTACGTAACCTCATCTACATGGTTACTTATATACCTATAATATATATAAAAAAATAATATTCATAGATTATTTCGTGTTAAGGAAAGAAATAATACATACACATATTATTATTTCCAACCACCATTAGTAATTAAAACGAAAATTGAAGGATATCGTTTATTTAGGTATGTCTTTTAAAACAACAATCGTTTATAAATAATAATGTAAATTAATATCATTTTTTTCCTTTTATATATTAATGTATATTATATATTATATATACTATAGGCATATGTACAATAGCATACTTCGCATGGCATAATTACGTGTAAAGGATTTCCCGTTTCACTACGTTGAACGGTTTCAAATATTTTTTAATATTTCCTCTGGTGAGTTGTGGATAATACATTATTATGCCGTTCAAGGTAATTACTAATTACTTTTGATAATTATTATATAAGGACATAAAAAAAACATACTATTTCAGAATACCACGTATTATAATCTATGGTAGTGTTTTGGAAACGATAGAAAACTATAGAAAACTAATATCTTGTATAGGTAGATTTTGGATAATTATATAATAACATGACAAATATTATGATGGATACTAACCAACAGATTTATAGCTGTCGGGTTCCCAGGGCGGTGGTTCCCTAGTAGCCACGTCAAACTCATAGTAGAGCAGTGAAAACGTTTCTTTGCACGACAGCGCGTACCCTGGGAACAGCGAACAGTCTCGGATGGTAAACTTGACTTCAATGTAAATGAGATTGGCCAGCCCTCGCTCGATGAAAGGCGTCCACACCCAGTTGTTGACGTTTTGCTTGGTGACATCGCACACGACGTACGACCGCCAGTTGATGCCCTTTTCAAAATTTATGTAGCTCTCTTCTACCCACTGAAAATTCACAAAAACGTAATTAAATAAAATATAATATATATAAAAAAAGCACAATAATATATTCATATTACACAGGAATAAATAAAGTACATATATAAGGACATAGGTACATCCACGTTATGTATATAGTAGTATAGTTTTGACGATTTCCCTGGGGGTAGGATAATATATGTATATAATATGTGTGAGTGTGTGTATGTGTGTATCTGTGTGTGCACGTATATAACAAGGTTCTATTGTCCTGGAAATTTGTCACCACCGTCATCGCCAATTGCGATAGTAAATAAAAACCCCCATTGGGTTAATGATCCAACGACCCTCTGTGACGAGGAGGTGGTGGAGACTTGTGCGAAAACATTCCGAGCACGAAGTCCTCTTCTCTTCTCCGACGGCCTATCCGGATGAGTCACGGGGACCCACCTTCAAAGGCTTGTGCAAATAGTATATATACGGGGCAAACGCAACGTATTCATTTGCTTTTGCACACACACACACATATATATATACGTACACACGTACACATTGTGAATCATCCAAAACGTTAGGGTCGTAGCGCGCGCGAAATCTCATCAACTCGCCCGCCGCGCTCTCTCCTCCGACCCTTATTCCCCTCTTCCACCCCCCCCCACAACCGATCCTGCTGCGGCACACTCGGTGTACGTGTCTATGGCGATTCGTCTTGATCGGATTTCGTCAAGCCCGACCTACCGAAATTGTTGCGAGCGCTAAATTTACATAATGCCCGTAGAGAAGAGACAGAGAGAGAATGAAAGAGAGAAAGAGAGTGAGCGAGTCACCGCCAGAGAATAAATTACACGAAAACGTGGGATATATAGTGTATAGTAGTACGTTGGTGGTGGTGGCGGAGAAAACGGTCAAAATAAACATTGTAACTATGTTTTGGCTTAACTCCAAAGCGATGCTGAGCGATGCTAGGCGGCCGGGAAACATCGACATGCAAAAAATATAAACAAGAATAAAAAAGGAAACTGTAAGTCTCACAGATTTTCCGATGTCGTTCTTCGCCGTCGATTAATGCAAACGCGTCAAGTAAATATTTTTTTATGTTAATTACTGACTTCATTTTCTTTGGAATACATTATTATAAACTACGGAAGATAATAAGAACGAACGCTGACAACGAATACGAGACGGAAAAGTTTTTAAAACGGTCTCGACGTAAAACTGTTTTATATATTTATAATCGTAAATAAATTTGAATAATTTTTTAAGCCGAAAAATGTTTTTGGAAAATATCAATGCGGGGCGGGTACACAAATCTACCAGATTTCACACTTGAGGGCACAATGGGCACAATTGCAAGGGATGACAACAATATGCACGGGAGTAAAGCGGGAAAATTCAGCGGGGAAAATAAAATCTCAAAGGTCAACTGCGACGGTCTGGGAGAAACGATTAATGCGCGCTTCCGTTCGAGAGGACTGCACACGATTTAGATATGAAACGATGGATTTTACCCCGAGCCACGAGACTGTAATAGTGTAATGTAACACATAACATTATTATATACGCATTCGGTACAACAATGGGTTCGGGTGATGCATGTCTCTGTGTATTATATATTATTATTATTATACACACGGACGCAGACAGTGTAACTCGGCGGCGTACTAGCAATGCGCACACGATTATACCCTTGGGAGAGGAGAAAGCGCGTTTTCCGGCGTCATTAACACGCCGAAAACCATTTTTCGAACGGAGTGCTTAATGAGCCCCGAAATCTTCCACATAATTCGGTACGTCATTACGGAGCGCGGTTCGTATAAGAGAAAAAAATTACTATATATGTGAATTATAATAGTAATGTATATATATATATGTGTATAGGGGAAAAAACGTAAAAAAAGAAGACGGTGGAGACGACGACGGCGACTCTGTGTTATTCATCATTAGGGAGGAAACGCGCGGGTAGTGATATAATATATATATATAATATAATACCGTACACACAACCCGCCGCAACAGATGACCGGCCGCGAAGATAGTAATTTTTTTCTAAGACTCACTATAGCATTCATATAAAAAGCCAAGCGCGCGCGCTCACACACAACACACGCACATGCACACACACTCACACACACACACACACACACACACACACACACTCACACTCACTCTCATAACTATAATGTGTATTTAATTGCCCGCCGCTGCCGCGCGCGTTATTAAAGTGCCATTAATGGGGCGAACCGAGACAACACGTTGCTGCAGTGCGGCTACCTCCTTTTTTTTTTTTTTTTTATAGAGGTACGCGCGGCGTATTGCATACTTGTATTATTATTATTATCATATAATATAATATAATTTTTTTTTTACCGTGGAAAAGGAATCCGGAGAATATAATATAACCCAACGTCGTCGATTTGTAAACGTCATCCGGGATAATTACATTAACAACCGGTAGATTCAATTCTAATAAGAGTTAAGGTATATATTTAATATATTATATATTTATATATAATATGCATAATAAAAGTATATATAACAAATAGGATGACGGTATGTAGTCGGAGACGACGCGGTATAAGGGTTTACATAATAATATATAACATCTAGCTGCCTACATATATTTATTATTATTATTATACATTATTGGTGGTCGTTCGCATGCCGCCGGTTGTAATGTGGTGTGTGTGTGTGTGTGTGTATGTGTGTGAGCGCGCGCGTCCACAAAGAAAACGTACGAAGAGGTAACGGCGGAAGCAGAAAAGCAGCGGCTACTTGTCGCATTATGCAAATGTCCACGTCAAAAGATTGCGGTCCACGCCGCTGCCGGTGCCGCCAGTGTATGGTTTTCAAAAGGTGACGCGGTAAAATGTAATTTATTCTTTTGGACCCAACGTGTAGATATGTCATTGGATTTAAATATACATACGCACACGACTACACTAGCGCATACGTATGTACACGTACTTCGACGAATGTGCGCGCTGTCGTTTTGCCATTCAATCCCGTTATTCGTAAGTATTTCTATTCGATATTTTATTTTTTATTTTGTCAACCCAGCTCTGTCCAGTCTCATGTATTTATATACGTATATAAACATGGCGCGCACACGACCGTCAAATCAACCTTAGTGGAACATGGGAAATTCAAAGTTCAAAACTATCACGAATAAAATATACGTATATTATAGTAATAATAAAAAAAAAACACTGCACGCAGACGGCCTTACATTTTATTATTATAATATGTATTGTGTATAGTTATATCATAGGTACGTGCGACCCGTCACCGTCGTCGTAGAAACGTCGTGTTCTAAGCTCTTTGCAGATTATGTCTAAAACTAAACGAAAAATAAAAACGTTTGTACGTGTATAGTTATATACACTACAATCGAGATCTAGATGACCGATAAAAATCATATACATATACCGCAGCATTTAATGAACGGTTCTTATGTAATATGCATTCACGTTGTATACCTGCATATAGGTATAATATGTTACAAACAATATAATATATGTATCAAGTATACTGAAAGTATAGGTTTATAATTTATAAGCGAAGGGAGTATAGGTACTCTCTGCTGTATATTATTTTATACAGCAGTAACGATTAATGTGGAAAAATAGAATCTAAATTCTAGGAGTTGATATTACTATAGTGCACTATTATAATATACTTAAACCTTTACATTATATATATATATATAATATATTGGACGATAATAATTCGGATTATTCGTGTTGTGGTATATACATTGACATCAGCGATAGTTACATAAAAGGCATAAATAGTTCGGGTCAGCAGACGAAGCCCGTCAACGGCGTCATTCGTTATTTGATAGGTACATAAAAAAAATAGTATATAATAGAATAGAACAACCGTGTGTCCGTGTCCTCTTTAATCGTAGAACGGAAATATTTTGTCGGGTTGCGCGGAAAAGAGCATTTCGATGCCATCAGGCCAATTGGGTGGGGAGAGGGGGTGCGCTTTTTCCAGTTCAAAGAATATATAATAAAGACACGATGACGGCCCTTACAATATCGCAATATACATGGTATATAACAATACAATATAATATAATATAATATAATATAATAATATATATACAAGTGCGGTGTGCTCGTGAAATTTCCATTTATTGATTTGTTCGCAGCGTAGTGAAGAAAAAAGAAAATTAATTAAAACCGACCCCGTTTTCGATTTAAATTCAAATTCGCCGCATGTTTTATTCACGGGAAAACGACAACGATTACAACGACCCTATATATATTATATATGTATATAAAATTATAAAATATTCTCTTGGAAATATTATTATTTAGGCGATGGGGTTGGCAATAAATGCATGAATGCGCGTGAAGATCACTGAACACATACACTGCACAGTTCATATATATACTACTACCAATGTCCAACACGCTATAAAATAATTATTATATAGTACGAGTGTACGACGAAATAATTCTATTTATTTACGACGACCGGGTCATAGGATTTAAGGGAAGGCATAACAATGAACAAATGTTTAAGACTTGTTGTGGCGGTGGATCATGGTCGGGTAGAATGAGAGTTTTTCGAGAAATTCTATATAAATATAATGCGAAATAATGCGATTTCGTGGCACGGCAGCAGCACATTCCGGATCATTAAACAAGGGGGAGAAAAAAAGCAGAGATCGCGCTTTGCACTGCAGCAGCACCCCCCGCGGGATCAGTTGACTGATGGCCAGTGATATATCCTAAATAATACGAGTAAATAACTCTTTGCCGATGGTCGTGGAATCCGCGGGGTCCATGCTAGGGGTGTTTCGCTCATTAGCCGCGAGAAACCAGATATGCCGCCACCAACGCGGCCCGACAATGACAAAAGACAAAAAAACCAAATATAAAATGATGAAAAAAAAGACTTCTGAACTGATATTTAAAAGAATGTTCTTGACGACTAAACGACGGTGGGACGGAGGAGATCGACCGTACACTACCGCGGACCGCTGCAGAGAAGTTCCCCCGCGCGGTATATACCAACGC